GAGGAAGGGTTACGACCCGCACGTGTGAGACGCGAGATCTTTCATTTGGTAAGAAAGTGGTACAGTCGTTGCTCATTAGAAGAACATGAGGTAGGTGGGCGGCAATGGACTGGAACGAGTTTTGGCTTTCAGCCGACCTTCGCCCATATCGCCACGGGCAAAAAAGGGACTGTAGAGTGAACGTGGGAATGCGTCTGTAAATCGTCAACATATCTGATGACGTATGTGATGTACAACCATTGTTGTTTACCTTGTACTTAGCACAGTACTCAATTTAGTCATTCACGGGCAAAAACGTTCGCGGGTGACTGATTTTCTGAACTGACTTTTGGACACGGGATAAGGTGAGCAACGACTGTACACCTGACAAAACTCTTATGAATGGGATTCAAATCCACGCCCTTTCGGACCAGTAGATGAAACTGGCGCGTTATACCACACCTTATTTACAATGTTTAGGGTTGGTGTTTTACTGATAAGGAAAGTGTGAAACTAGTGGAAGGTGACCAAGTAGGAAAGGCATAAGAAAGTGCATGTGTGATGTAAAAGATGGTGACTAACAGAGACAGACACATATGAAGACCAACAGATCGGGCACAACAGGATAGACGTATGTGATGACCAACATGATTGGTATGATAACTAGTGTAAGGACTGTACACTGACCGACAGGGCAGATATAACAATTACACTTGCACTTACACCTAAGAGGCTAGCTACTCTAACCCATCCTTCAACTTTTACGTTGTTCAAACCCCCTTAGATGCAAGGGTTGTACAAATACACCAGATCTGGGGCATCATCGGGCTAAATGCTCTTAAAATAGAGGGTTTTTGCTAGATACACCCTCTGGGGTAGCCGGAAAAGCCTCTTCAACCCTGTGGCGGATCGATCTAGCTTGTGCATGCTGCATGGCAATGGAGACTCGAAGTACGTATGAACTCTCGAATGCAGAAGCTAGAATACTGTCTGCTGTTATGTAGTCAACACGACGTGCTACTGCTCGGTGGCTGTAGTCTCGTAAGAAATATTTGAAGGTGCTGCCGAAGCATCCAAACGTTTCAAGTATGAGGGGAATGAGTTTGACTGTCGGGCGGTCATGCAATGCTCGGGCGCAGTGGCGTCGTCTTTCTGCTTCCCGTTGTTTCGCTGTTAGGCCAACTGTGTGGGTGACTGTTGCTGGAGCTGAGGGCTGGTGAGGGTAAGCTAATGAGACATATAGTGCCCACTTGATGGATCAAGGCAGGTGACGTCGGGAATGGCATCTGGTAGTATCGTGGGGTCCTCTAGACGAACAGTGTAGCCGAGCTCCCTAGTTATCCTAGCTACCTCGTGTTTACAGTGTTGTGCACATGGGTAGGCTCATGAAGGTCAGGGCAGCGAAGAGCGTGACCAGGGAGAATGGGGTTGGAGTAAGTGTGGCCGCAAGAGCATGGTGGGGTTGTTTCCATAAGACGAAGGTGAGGGATAGGGAGGCATAAGCGCAACTATGCGGCTATAAGACAGTCTGCAGGTTACAGCTGAGAACGGGGAGCAGATAGGAAAGCCGTGAGCCATGCACTCGCAGAAGGGTCCTGAAGGAAGGTTATATAGACTAGCTGGTGGTGCTGGGTAGCGACTGCAAATAGCTGCTCTACTGCGTGTGCAGATATGCGTTGGGCTAGGGCTGAAAAGAGGCGGTCAGGGTAGCCTGCTAGGACACCATCTTCTGAACTAAACCCAAATTCAATGCTTGGAGCATCCCTTCCCCCCCCCCTCCCCCCCCCCCTCTCTTCCTTCCACTCCCCCATAATCCACAATGGTATCCCCCACCCCGGTCCCCCACAGCCTTGAACAACTCCTGTCAATCGGAGCGGTCCTCATCAGCGGCATCGGAGCCACCAGCGTGCTCTGGCCTTTCTCTCGTATCTTCCTCCACCACGCCCCTTTCCCTTATCTTCCACCCCCCCACACACAGCTTCGAGCACGCCATGTTAGTGGGCACGGTCTCCATCAGCAGTAGCAGAGCCACCAATGTGCTCTGGCCTTTCTCTCACCTCCGCTTCAACAATATCCCGTATTTTCCTCTACCTTGCCTCTTTCCCCTATCCTCCATCCCGCCCCCCGCGCAGTTTCTTGGGCCCCCTGTTAGTGGGCACGGTCCCAAGTAACAGCAGCAGGGCCACCAGCATGCTCTGGGCCTTCTCTTGCTCCGACTCACAGCAATTGGAAGACCACGGGCCAGACGAGAGAGTAGGCACTGTGCAGGCATGGGTTGGGCGTATAATTTTTTGAGTACGCATGCATGGGTGAAGGGCTATCGTGCTATGGGCCTTCTCTCACTCTTTCACTTGAGCTTTGTTTTCACTTGACTCGTTTTACTCATGACAAAACAAAAGGGGGAGGAGGGGGGGAGGAGAGGATTGCTCGAAACTCGTCAATTCTTCCGTTAGGATCAACTTCGTTACATGCACTTCCTTAACTCGCTTGCTCACTTTACCTCCCATCCACTGACCCACTCTCCTGCTTCCATCTCTCCCCCTTCCCTTCCCATGCTTACCACCCACCACTTGGGGCTCCATTAGAGCCAACTTTGTTACAAGAGCTTTCTTGTCTCGATTGCTCACTGCTCACTTCACCTCCTATTGCCTCTTTTTGCTCTCCCCCCTTCACCACCCACCAGAGGCTCGATTAGAATCAACTGTGTTATGCACTTTCTTGTCCCGCTTATTCACTTCTCACCTCACCTCCCACTCCCCCAATCCCCCGCTTCCCCCTCTTCCCTTGCCCTTCGCCCACCGCTCTTCAAAGGCTCCATTCGATTCAACTTCGTTGTAGGCTGAGTCGAGGCAGGGAAATCAAAAACCAAATCTGAAACAATATATTCTGCCCACCGGTGGATTCTTACTGTAACGTTTGGCATTCTCATGCCTACTGCCATGCTTATATGAAGGATATTTTTGGCGGATAAGCCTACTTCACCCCCAACCGCATCGGCGGCGGCAGCAACAAAGGTAAGGGAAGAAGCAGCAAGAAGAGGGGAAGTATCAGTTGAGCCGATTTTGCATGGAAGCAAGGAAACGGAACGGATTCAAACGGACAGGCTTAAAACGGGAGCAGCAGGGGCAGCAAGTGCAACAGGGACCGCATGGGCAATTACCCCAGTATATTTTGGCCCCATGGTAACCATAGCAAAACCTAGGATCTCCAAGCCTCAAGCATTTGAAGCTCACAAGTAGATCATGCTCCTCGCTGCCGTGCTCCCGTTGGCCGGAATCATCACAGTGATTGCCCAATCAGGGACGAGCTCCCTGCAGTCGCGACATGGCAATCCGGGATTGGCCGTGCTGCTGCTAATCATCCTCTCGCCAATCGTTGGACAGCTCAGGCCGGTCAAGAGCCACGTTCACGATGCTGTTGGTTAGAGCTGCATTGGGTGGTGGGAGTGACGATTGTGGCACTGGCTTGGAGCAGCACGTACCTCAAGATTGACCTTGCAAGCAGCCGTTTTGGGTACAGCCTTGATGTGAGTCTTGCAACTTATTTGTTTTCTTTTTTTGTTTTCTTTCATTCTAAGCAAGAATCTAGCTGTATTGACTCTGCTCGTTTATCCTCTCTTTTTTCTTGGAAAATTGTTTGTTTCTTTGTATTGTTCATGCTATATCCTGCTGCTTGTAACTAACCATTGCTCCTTTTCAACCCCCCATTTCAACCCCCCACCATTTCAACCTCCCACCCCCTATCCTCTCCCCTCCTCTCACATGCTGTGGCCCTTCCCTAATTTTCCTCGCTTTTTTTTCTCCCCGATATTTATTTTTCCCTCTTTCGTGTGATCGAATGCAGTGGTGCTACATCGTCTTCTCCCTTTTTATTGGTTTGTTCACTGCTTCTTACTTAATCAACTTTGGTTTTACGACGTATCAAATATATTTGTTTCCCATCTTCTTGTCTGTCCCTATCCCTCCATCGATTGCAGTGGTGCTATGTTGTCTTCTCCACCTTGATTGGTCTCTTTACTGTTGCTTATGCAATCGACTTTGCGCTGGACCAGCTGGGGTTCCTCATGCTTTTATATATGCAGTCTTTGACTGAATATGATCCGCACTATGCAAAGGCAGTTGAGATGGTGTAGATTCTTGGTTACATTTGTTTGGCCTGTTATTTGTTCGATCCTCTGTAGAGCAGATGCATAATTTCTTATAAATGAGTATTTAGTCACCCCTATTGCAAAATGGGCAAAACCATTGCTTCACCCACACAAGATACATTCCTAAGGGAAACAATGTAATTGAGTAGTGATACAAGTGTGCATCAGAAGTCCTTGCATTCCTTCGTTGACAACAACCAGGTCCATGGTGTCCGACTGTCGCACTCGTGCATGTGCTTGGTTATGTCAGGGTTGCTGCATGGTACAACTCGCGGTTGCTGTCACTGATGGTGCCGATGCTTATGATACGGTACTGATGCTCATGATACGGTACTGGTGCTCATGATACGGTACTGATGCTCATGATACGGTACTGATGCTCATGATACGGTACTGATGCTCATGATACGGTACTTATGCTCATGACACAGTACTGATGCTCATGATACGGAACTGATGCTCATGATACAGTACTGATGCGCATGATACGGTACTGATGCTCATGATACGGTACTGATGCTCATGATAATGTTGCTCAGGTCATTGGTATTAATGCTCATGGTGCTGATGCTCATGGTGTTGATGCTCACGGTGCTGATGCTCACAGTGATGATGCTCACGGTTCTGATGCTCACGGTGCTGATGCTCACGGTGCTGATGCTCGTGGTGCTGATGCACATGGTCCTGAAAATCGTGGTGCTGATGCCCATGGTCATGAAGCATGCATCAGAGATGCCATTTGGTTCAAAATGAATGGCCCCCATATGATATTCAACCATTCTATCCATGTGTGCTCCAACTCGAAGTGGAAAGCTCAAAGAGAACGCTCAAGCAATAATGGCATCAGTGGTGCATCCCGACAAAGGAAAATCGATTAGGGATAGAATGGGGAAGGGGGGGGGAAGAGATGATAGAGATAGGGAGAGGGAGAGGGAGAGGGAGAGGGAGAGGGAGAGGGAGAGGGAGGAGAGGATAGAGATAGGGAGAGGGAGAGGGAGAGGGAGACGGAGAGGGAAGAGAGGATAGAGATAGGGAGAGGGAGAGGGAAGAGAGGATAGAGGTAGGGAGAGGGAGAGGGAAGAGAGGATAGAGATAGGGATACGGAGAGGGAAGAGAGGATAGAGATAGGGAGACGGAGAGGGAAGAGAGGATAGAGATAGGGAGACGGAGAGGGAAGAGAGGATAGAGATAGGGAGACGGAGAGGGAAGAGAGGATAGAGATAGGGAGAGGGAGAGGGAAAGGGAGAGGGAGAGGGAAAGGGAGAGGGAGAGGGAACAAAGGGAAAGGCAAAGGCAAAGGGAAAGGTAACAAAGGCAAAGGGAAAGGGAAAGGGAAAGGCAAAGGGAAAGGCAAAGGGAAAGGCAAAGGGAAAGGCAAAGGGAAAGGCAAAGGGAAAGGCAAAGGGAAAGGCAAAGGGAAAGGCAAAGGGAAAGGCAAAGGGAAAGGCAAAGGGAAAGGCAAAGGGAAAGGCAAAGGGAAAGGCAAAGGGAAAGGCAAAGGGAAAGGCAAAGGGAAAGGCAAAGGGAAAGGCAAAGGGAAAGGCAAAGGGAAAGGCAAAGGGAAAGGCAAAGGGAAAGGCAAAGGGAAAGGCAAAGGGAAAGGCAAAGGGAAAGGCAAAGGGAAAGGCGAAGGGAAATCAAAAGTGAAAGGCGAAGGGAAAGGCAAAGGGAAATCAAAAGTGAAGGGCAAAGGGAAATCAAAAGTGAAGGGCAAAGGGAAATCAAAAGTGAAGGGCAAAGGGAAATCAAAAGTGAAGGGCAAAGGGAAATCAAAAGTGAAGGGCAAAGGGAAATCAAAAGTGAAGGGCAAAGGGAAATCAAAAGTGAAGGGCAAAGGGAAATCAAAAGTGAAGGGCAAAGGGAAATCAAAAGTGAAGGGCAAAGGGAAATCAAAAGTGAAGGGCAAAGGGAAATCAAAAGTGAAGGGCGAAGGGAAATCAAAAGTGAAAGGCGAAGGGAAATCAAAAGTGAAAGGCGAAGGGAAATCAAAAGTGAAAAGTTTGGGCAACTATGTCAGGAGTGGGATTTGAACCCACGCCCTTTCGGACCAGTACCTGAAACTGGCGCCTTAGACCAACTCGGCCATCCTGACACGCTTTTTCTGTGTGCCAAATAATACCAGTTACATAAAAAGACTTAGGTTTTACGCGGTTGATTCTTGCGTTTATACGTTACAGTATGTTATACAACGGTTCAGAGTGATGGACCTTCGCACTCTGAATTAGGTTTGTTTTCCTACATGTTACGCGTCTTGAAAGCTTTTTGCTTCTCGAACATTCCTTCGCCTTCAGAGAAGTGTCGCCGAAGTGACGTCACAGCTGATGCTCAGCAGCTAGTAGGGTCCTGGAAATTAGCTTCTACTTTCCTAGAGACCTCCTGCTCCGCCTCCTCCCTAGTCGCTTCTATCGCCTCTGATGCCTCGACCTCGAGGCTCCAGCGAAAAGGAGCAGGACTTGTGGCCCTGCATCTACCAGCAGCACTGAGGGACAGTATATTAGCTACCTTCACTGCTAACAATGGTACAGATAATTGAATGCTGCTCGTTGTTCAGTTACAAACGCCGTAGTTCTAGACTTTGCAATCCTTATATCGAAGCCATCTCCCATTCTCCAGGAGGAACAGAAGCCGTAAACGTGACGTGACCACTACTTAAGGCCGCGTCGCCTCATTCTTAAGAACCCCTAACAGGTAGGCTCCGCATTTTTCGCAGTCTGCTTTTCCAATTCTCCTCCCGTCGCATCATTTCCGCTCCCTCCCTTCTAATTTTCCAACGCGCGCTTAGACAGCTTACTTATTTTTAGTAATGACTATTTCTGTGTCGCTTGCTCCCTTTCGGTCGGCCCGCGTTCTCTCGGTCCACCATCAGCCTATTCGTTCTCAACTTTCGCGTGTTACGAGTTCGATTGAGTGTAATACCGAAGCGACTCGGCCCCTTCGCGCTCTGCGACATCTCAATCTCAGAAGCGCACCGATTCTTTCCTTGACCGCCGCGCAGCTGTGCCTCCTTGCCACGTCGTCATTCGCCACGTCAGCCTTCCCTTCTGTGGCACGCGCCGCGTCAAGGAGCGAACCCCATCGAGATTCGCTGCCCGTCTGTCGTATCGACGGTGAAGAGAGCGCGTTCGCTGCGGAAACGCCACGTGGCAGACATCCCGCGGTTGGCCAGACGCACGCGACGCGTACCACCTCGGCGGCTGCGGAAATGGCGGCGGATTCGGCGGCGGGAAATGCGGGGAACGCGCAGGCGGAGCTTCCCGTTATCTTCGTGTCGCACGGATCGCCAATGGCGGCGGTGGAAGAAGACGAAACGTCAGCCTTCTGGCAACGCCTCGGGAAACAGGTGAGGCCCTGTCTCTGAACTGACCGACAAGTCAACGCCAAGTCAACGTCTTGGGCGACAGGTGAGGCGTCGGGGAAATCCAGGCGAGGATGGATGATCCTCGTGTCGCACGGGTCGCCGATGGCGGCGGTGGAAGAAGACGAGCCGTCCGCCTTCGGGCAACGCCTTGTGAAACAGGTGAGACCCTCTTTTGAATTTTCGGACAAGTCAACGCGTTGGGCAACAGGTGAGGCGTTGGGGAAAGGCAGGTGAGGATGGGTCATGTTTGTGTGGCACGGGTCGCCGATGGCGGCGGTGGAAGAAGACGAGCCGTCCGCCTTAGGGCAACGACTGGGGAAACAGAGGCCTTGTTCTTGAATTAACCCACAAGTCAACGCTATGCCTTGGGCGACAGGTGAGACGGTGGGGAAAGTCAGGCGAGGATGGGTAGAGTAGATGGGTAGTGTTGGTGTGTCACTGGTCACCGATGTCGGCTCGGAGGTGGAAGAAGACGACACGTCCGCCTTCGGGCAACGCCTGGGGGAGCAGGCGAGGCTCTTGTTCTAAACGCACCAACTGTCATTCTCTTGGGAAACAGGTGAGGCGACTGGGGAGGTAATCAGATTGAATTTTGGAAGGCTATGAAAGGGGGAAGGATCACAGATAAACTCAACCCATGGCAGCAGCGGTGCAGTGTAGGTTCTTGAGAATTCTCAAAATCCAGCCGGAAGGCTATAAAATGGGGAAGTTTCACATTTGAACTCAATCGATCCACCTGGTAGAAAGGCCTTGGACTACAGGTGAGAGTGTGAAGTCCTCTTTTGAGTTGACCCACAAGCCAGCGCCTTGCTATAGTAGTCAACTCGCTGCCATCCTCGTTACAAGCGCGCATCCTGCCACTCTCCTCAATCCGGTCAAATGAGTCTTATTTGACTGACTTATTTCTTGCCCGCACCACCTCACGACACTCCCATTCTTATTCATCTGCTCACCCCCTTCTTCCTCCACCCACCTGCCCTCAGGTCGCCGCCTTACCAGGCATTAAGGCCATCCTCGTTATAAGCGCGCACTGGGAGGCGGACGGGGCGGCAATCCGGGTGAACAGTGCCACCCAGCCAGCCACTATTCACGACTTTTACGGATTTCCCAAGGAGCTGTACGCGTTACAGTATCCTGTCAAGGGATTGCCGGAGCTGGCACAGCGTGTAGTTGAGGTAAGATAAAATCCTGCTTTTTAAGGCATCTCAGGTAAGGGGTTTCCCAAGGAGCTGTACGCGTTACAGTATCCTGTCAAGGAATCGCCGGAGCTGGCACAACGTGTGGTTGAGGTAAGAAGTGAGAAGCAATGAGCATCCGTCTGTGGGTTTCCCAAGGAGCTGTAGGAGCTACAGTATCCAGTCAAGGGATCGCCACAGCTGGCACAACATGTTGTTGAGGTAAGATAGTGACCTAGTATTGAAGCATGTCATATATAGTGGTTCGCCGCAGCTGGCCCAACGTGTAGTAGAGGCAAGATTTTGTAAAACATAATTTCTAAGGAAACGGATTCCCGTAAGAATTGATGTCTCCTCCGCTTTCCAGTTGATTTACTGAACTGAAATCTGCTATCTTTCCCCCCGGCCTGTTCCCCATGCCTCTCCCATCCTGGCCTGTTGACATCAGCTCCTCTCGGCCAATCACATTAGAGCTGAGCTGGACGCCTCCCACGGCCTTGATCACGGCGCATGGGTCCCGCTGCGCTGGATGCTGCCACGTGGCAGCATCCCAGTGGTCCAGATGTCGTTGCACGGCGGCAGCAGTCGGCAAGTGGGGAACGCTATAACGAGTATGCAACGCCATGTGGAGCTGGGTCGGGCTTTAAGGCCGCTCAGGAAGGAGGGTGTGCTGGTGCTGGCGAGTGGTGGTGCTGTGCATAATCTAAGAGAAGTTGGATCGTACTTTGGGACCAAGAAGGTGCGTCTTGATGGGGCGTTGATGCCATGCTGGCACCAATATGACTTTATGAGGATAACCGAATGTTGTAAGGGGGGGCTAGGGAGGAAGGGTGTGCTGATGCTGGCGAGTGGTGGTGCTGTGCATAACTCGAGAGAAGTTGAATGTGCATGTACTTGATTTTTTCTCATCTTAATTTTCCATCATTCAATAATTCATCCTATTTTCACTTCCTCTCTCAATAATGGCAATCTCTCCCCTTTGTATGGTAGTGTTTTGCAATTCCCCCAGTTCTGACAGGTATCTAGGCTCTTTTTTTACAATCTGTACTTACACGCCGTTGCAATGCCAGGTGGCATCCTACGTGGCACCCTTTGATTCGCTGCTGGATGATGCAATCACCAAGGCCGAGTCAGATCAAGACATGCTCACCCGCCTCCTGGGTGCGTTTACTCTGTGCTGTATCCCCTCTGCTCTTTTTCGTTTGGTGTCTCAAAAGTGTGTCCGCTCTTTCTCTCGTATATTTTCTTTCTTCCGCCCTCCCTTTCTTGGCACAAGAAAGTACCACTCACACTTTCGTTCCCCACGCGACCCCCCTTTGTGACTTTTGAGTCGACTCACACTTTCCCGTTCCCCACGCCCTTTCTGGTTTCCCCGTCCCTCTTCCTTTTCTCCCTCCCTGCAGCACTCTCCTCCCACCCTCTCCTGCCCAAGGCCCATCCCACCATCGAGCACCTTCTCCCTCTCTACTTTAGTTCAACGCATCATCAAACCCCCTCTTTCTGCTGATCCCTCTCCCCTCTTTCCTCCCTGCAGCGCTCTCCTCCCACCCTCTCCTGCCGAAGGCTCATCCCAACATCGAACACCTTCTCCCTCTCTACGTCGCTGCAGGTGCTGCCACTGGTGCCTCTAACGTCGATTCCGCTCCATATCCCTCCCTCTGTCCTCTCCTGCCCTCCCTCCCTGCAGCTCTCTCCTCTCACCCTCTCCTGCCCAAGGCCCATCCCACCATCGAGCACCTTCTCCCTCTCTACGTGGCTGCTGGTGCTGCCACTCATTTTTCCCTCTCCTCTCTTCCCTCTCTCCCCCTTCCCTAACCCCTCCCTGACTGCAGCTCTCTCCTCCCACCCTCTCCTTTCCAAGGCCCATCCCACCATCGAGCACCACCTCCCTCTCTCAGTCACTTCACGCATGACACTCATTTTCCCCTCCCTCTCCCCTCGTCCTTCCCTCTCCCTTCTGCCCCCCCTGCAGCGCTCTCCTCCCACCCGCTCCTGCCCAAGGCCCATCCCACCATCGAGCACCTTCTCCCTCTCTACGTTGCTGCTGGTGCTGCCACTGCCAATACTGCACCTTCTAACGAGGATGGAAACGCCTCAGGAGGAGGAAGATCCCAGCCGTCCATTGCCCCACAGAAGCTCTTCCAGATGCACATCTGGACGCTCAGCAACGCTGCTTACAGCTTTGGGAATATGACCAAGCCAAAGCTTGCAGCTTTGGGAATATGACCAAGCCGAAGCTTGCAGCTTTGGCATAGGCTGCTCCTCTACATAGGGGTAGGTGTTCTTTCGAATGCACATCAGCTCTGCTGGAAGGAATGCTATACATTTTTATGTGTTATGTTATGCTGTGTTTTAGTCTATGTTTTCCTATTGTATCCTCATACACTGCAAACACACTAAAATATCTATCGAACAAATATTTTAACAATAGTAAGGAGAAGCATGCATGAAGCCTTTCATGAACCCTTGACATAGTCTTGCTAACAACAATTCTACAAGTACAACTGCCTGCCTATGTTGAACGGGCCCGAATGCTCTCCTCACCGCAAGGAGCTGGCAATACCATGGAACCATACTTGATTTTTTAGGCGCCTCAAAGGTCTGTTCTTGACTGAACGCTGGAAGTTGCTAGTGAAGAAACCGTCTCAAATTGATAACATACAGACAAGGCCATATTGCCTAGCCTACTTATATTGTGTCAGCCAGGCACCCTACAGTACCGTACCAGGATAGGCAATCCAGGCACAAATACAGCCGCCAATATCCTGTGGTGATTCGAGTGAATGCAAGAAGTTGAAATCTACTGCTCGTCAGACCCATTCCCGTGGAGTTGAAATCACCCTATTAGAAGGACTGGCAACACGACCACCAATACTGCTGCTAATATCCTGTAAATACTCGAGTGAATGCTGGAAGCTGCTGAACACAAGGGATGGGAAAAACAATAGGAGGAAAGGTAGCAGAGGGGATAGGGTGAGAGCATGTGATAAATCAGACAAGCATCTTTATTTGACTTGATGCACAAGATCAGCCTCTCTCTCCCCTTAATTTCTCTCTCCCTCTCTTCACCTCCTCCTCCGTCCCTCTCCTCACCTCCCCTCCCTTAGCACGGCACACAGGAGGCTGGGTGGTACTTGCAGCCTCTCCTCTCTCTCTTAACTTCATCTCACTCCCTCTCCTCACCTCCGTTCCCACTCTCTCTCATCACGCCCTCACTCACACACTCCTTTCACTCGCAGCACGGGGCACAGAAGGTCGGGCAGCAACTGCAGCCTCAACACATGGCAGCAAAACACGTGCCTCCCCTCTGCACCACCTCACAGCCTGTCTGCACCTTCCTTCTCACTTCCTCTCCTCACCTCCTTTTCCACATCACGGATCACAGAAGGTCGGGCAGGTCTTGCAGCCTCAACACATGGCAGCAATACATGTGCCTCCCCTCTGCACCACCTCACTGCCTGTCCGCACCATCCTTCCCACCCCAAACCTCACCTTCCTTCCCACCCCAAACCTCACCTTCCTTCCCACCCCAAACCTCACCTTCCTTCCCACCCCAAACCTCACCTTCCTTCTCACCCCAAACCTCACCTTCCTTCCCACCCCAAACCTCACCTTCCTTCCCACCCCAAACCTCACCTTCCTTCCCACCCCAAACCTCACCTTCCTTCCCACCCCAAACCTCACCTTCCTTCCCACCCCAAACCTCACCTTCCTTCCCACCCCAAACCTCACCTTCCTTCCCACCCCAAACCTCACCTTCCTTCCCACCCCAAACCTCACCTTCCTTCCCACCCCAAACCTCACCTTCCTTCCCACCCCAAACCTCACCTTCCTTCCCACCCCGAACCTCACCTTCCTTCCCACCCCAAACCTCACCTTCCTTCCCACCCCGAACCTCACCTTCCTTCCCACCCCAAACCTCACCTTCCTTCCCACCCCAAACCTCACCTTCCTTCCCACCCCAAACCTCACCTTCCTTCCCACCCCAAACTTCACCTTCCTTCCCACCCCAAACCTCACCTTCCTTCCCACCCCAAACCTCACCTTCCTTCCCACCCCAAACCTCACCTTCCTTCCCACCCCAAACCTCACCTTCCTTCCCACCCCAAACCTCACCTTCCTTCCCACCCCAAACCTCACCTTCCTTCCCACCCCAAACCTCACCTTCCTTCCCACCCCAAACCTCACCTTCCTTCCCACCCCAAACCTCACCTTCCTTCCCACCCCAAACCTCACCTTCCTTCCCACCCCAAACCTCACCTTCCTTCCCACCCCAAACCTCACCTTCCTTCCCACCCCAAACCTCACCTTCCTTCCCACCCCAAACCTCACCTTCCTTCCCACCCCAAACCTCACCTTCCTTCCCACCCCAAACCTCACCTTCCTTCCCACCCCAAACCTCACCTTCCTTCCCACCCCAAACCTCACCTTCCTTCCCACCCCAAACCTCACCTTCCTTCCCACCCCAAACCTCACCTTCCTTCCCACCCCAAACCTCACCTTCCTTCCCACCCCAAACCTCACCTTCCTTCCCACCCCAAACCTCACCTTCCTTCCCAACCCAATATTCACTTTCCTTCCCAACCCAAACCTCACCTCCTTTCCCATAGCACGGAGCACAGAAGGTCGGGCAGCTTTTGCAAAACGCGGTGGTGCTTTTCTGGGGCACCACGCAGTTTCCATCGGTCGGGCAGGACAGAAAATTTCTGTCGTAATCCCTGTAGTAGCGGGAAAGGAGGGAATTGGGCAGGACAGAAAGGAAAAGGACAAATATTGGCATAGGTGCTGGAGAAGGGGGGGAGTAGGGGGAGCACTCACAGCAGAGAGCAGAGAGAAGAGAGCAGAGAGCAGAGAGCAGAGAGCAGAGAGCAGAGAGCAGAGAGCAGAGAGCAGAGAGCAGAGAGAAGAGAGCAGAGAGCAGAGAGCAGAAGGTGGAATGCGGAGAGCAGACAGCAGAGGGCATAGAGCACAGGGCAGAGAGCATAGAGCAGAGATTGGAGAGCAGAAAGCAGAGAGAATAGAGAATAGAACAGAGAGCCGAGAGGAGAGATAAAGCAGAGAGCAGAGAGCAGAGAGCAGAGAGTAGAGAGCAGAGATCAGAAGGCGGAATGCGGAGAGCAGACAGCAGAGGGCACAGAGCACAGGGCAGAGAGCATAGAGCAGAGATTGGAGAGCAGAAAGCAGAGAAAACAGAGAAGAGAACAGAGAGCCGAGAGGAGAGATAGAGCAGAGAGCAGAGAGCAGAGAGCAGAGAGTAGAGAGCAGAGAGCAGAGAGCAGAGAGCAGAGAGCAGAGAGCAGAGAGCAGAGAGCAGAGAGAAGAGAGCAGAGAGCAGAGAGCACTCACAGCAGGGTGAGCTTGGTGAGAGAGCCGAGAGTGGCAGGCAGGATCCCAGCCATTCGGTTTCCTGACATGTTGCTGGGGGATGGGATGAGGGGTGGGGTGCAGAGCGGTTGAAGGTGGTGAGCGAGAGTGACGAGGTCAGTGCTACTGAGGGGCAATCAGGGAAAATCCTGGCCGGTTAGTTGGCTGAGGTATTTTTTTTTGTTTTGAGATGTCTCAAAAGAGACGTCTCAAATCATGGAGAATCCTGGCCGGTCAGCTGGCTGACGAATTTGAGACGTCTTTTTCGAGACGTGTCAGCTGGTTAACGAATTTCTGCAGCAAAAGGAAGAACAGTGGGGCTGCAAGGGGTACGAGGCGGTTAAGAAGGGTAAGAAGATTTGCGACGGTATAACTGAGTGACCTCACCACACCCCTTGGCACCATTACATCAGACCGGATGTAACCACATCACACCTCGTGTCACCGTACACCACCACTCACAGGGCTGTCAGCTTCACAAGATTGCCCATGGTGGACGGGACTGGCCCCTGCAGGTGGTTGACGTGACGCCCATTCCCCCCACCCACTATACCCCAAGCTACCACATCGCACCCCATATTACCGCACCACATCCCATGTTATCGCATCACACCGCACACCACCACCACTCACAGGGCCGTTAGCTTGACTAGATTGCCCATGGTAGAGAGGATTGGTCCTGCAGGCGATTGACGCCCATTTCCCGCCACCTCTCGCCCTACTCCATATGCCCCATGTTACCACATCACATTCCTTATCACCACACACCACCACTCACAGTGCTGTCAGCTTGACAAGGTTGCCCATTGTGGACGGTACTGGCCCTTGTAGGCGATTGACGCCCATTCCCCTGGCAGAAGGGAGGAAGGGAGTGCAGCGGACGGGGAGGAGGGATGATGGAAGGGGGCTGTATGGTGTAAGGGGGGGATATGGTGGAATCGGAAGCAGCAGGTGGTTGACGCTCATTCTTTTGATAGACGGGGAGAGAATGAGTGTGAAGGGGGAGGGGAGCGAGGGTGTATAGGGGGATATGGCGGATGGTAAAGATGGTGCAGGTACATTACAGGACTCGTTCCCTTAGCATCAAGGAGGAGGGGTTAAAAAAGGTTGGAGGAGGCGAAAGTAGACTAGTAGTGGTGAGTCACAGGTAAGGAGGCTGACTCACAGACATGAAACGCTGACTCACAGACATGAAATGTTGACTCACAGACGCTAGGTGCTGACTCGCAAACACTAGTTGCTGACTCACAGGTACTCAAGGCTGACTAGGTTCATAATGGAGTCGGGTATGAATCCGTTGAAGCGATTCTCTGAGAGCAGCCTGGAAAGGAGCGGAAGAGAGGTGGCGGGGGGAAGTAGGAATAAAGGAGTGGACCAATAAGGGGGTAGTGGGTACGAGCGGCTGACTAGGTGGAGGGTTCATGATTGAGTCGGGTATGAAGCCGTTGAAGCGATTCTCCGAGAGGAGCCTGCAGGGGACCAGAGGGGGGACTAGGGATAAGGGGGTTAGTGGGTGGGTTTTGGAATAAAGGGGAAGGTTTCCCCAAAATTACATTCTATAATACTAGCATTCGTCACAAAATCACTCACACTCGTCACCAACTCACCCACACTCGTCACCGACTCACAGGTGCTCGAGGGATGAGAGGGAGGAGATGGAGCGAGGGATGCTGCCTGCGAGCTTGTTGCCTCAGAGGTCCCTGGTGGGGTGAGGGAGGGGGTTGGGAGGTGGGGGTTAAGCTGGAGAAACATGGGGGAGAGCGAGTGAGTGAGTGGGAGATGGAGCGGGGGATGCTGCCTGCAAGCTTGTTGCCTCGGAGGTCCCTGGTGGGGAGAGGTGGTGGAGTGAGGAGATCGAAGATAAGAATGATGGGAGGTGGGGAGAGAGTATGAGGGCCTCTAATTTCCTGGCTCCTGAGCGGAGAGGGAGGAGATGGAGCAAGGAGAGAGTATTAGTAGAAGTATGCTGCCTGCGAGGCTTGTTGCCTCGGAGGTCCCTGGTGGGGTGGGAAAAGGCAGGGGAGGGTGGAAGGAGATGGGGAGATGGGAGGCGGGGAGATGGTATCAGGGACTCCTGTGTGGAGAGGGAGGAGATGGAGCGAGGGATGGTGCCTGCAAGCTTGTTGCCTCGGAGGTCTCTAGTGGTTGTGGAGAGGCAGGAAAGGGGGAGGATGGGATGGGAGACAAAGGTAGAGGCCTGAGAGCAGACGGAGTAGGAAATGGAGTGAGGGATGGTGCCTGCAAGCTTGTTGCCTCGGAGGTCTCTAGTGGTTGTGGAGAGGCAGGAAAGGGGGAGGATGGGATGGGAGACAAAGGTAGAGGCCTGAGAGCAGACGGAGTAGGAAATGGAGTGAGGGATGGTGCCTGCAAGCTTGTTGCCTCGGAGGTCTCTAGTGGTTGTGGAGAGGCAGGAAAGGGGGAGGATGGGATGGGAGACAAAGGTAGAGGCCTGAGAGCAGACGGAGTAGGAAATGGAGTGAGGGATGGTGCCTGCAAGCTTGTTGCCTCGGAGGTCTCTAGTGGTTGTGGAGAGGCAGGAAAGGGGGAGGATGGGATGGGAGACAAAGGTAGAGGCCTGAGAGCAGACGGAGTAGGAAATGGAGTGAGGGATGGTGCCTGCAAGCTTGTTGCCTCGGAGGTCTCTAGTGGTTGTGGAGAGGCAGGAAAGGGGGAGGATGGGATGGGAGACAAAGGTAGAGGCCTGAGAGCAGACGGAGTAGGAAATGGAGTGAGGGATGGTGCCTGCAAGCTTGTTGCCTCGGAGGTCTCTAGTGGTTGTGGAGAGGCAGGAAAAGGGGTAGGATGGAGAGATAAGGAGATGGGAGGCGGGGAGATGGGAGGCAGGGAGATGGGAGGCGGGGAGATGGGAGGCGGGGAGATGGGAGACGGGGAGATGGGAGGCGGGGAGATGGGAGGCGGGGAGATGGGAGGCGGGGAGATGGGAGGCGGGGAGATGGGAGGCGGGGAGATGGGAGGCGGAGAGATGGGAGGCGGGGAGATGGGAGGCGGGGAGATGGGAGGCGGGGAGATGGGAGGCGGGGAGATGGGAGGCGGGGAGATGGGAGGCGGGGAGATGGGAGGCGGGGAGATGGGAGGCGGGGAGATGGGAGGCGGGGAGATGGGAGGCGGGGAGATGGGAGGCGGGGAGATGGTATCAGGGACTCCTGTGTGGAGAGGGAGGAGATGGAGCGAGGGATGCTGCCTGTGAGCTTGTTGCCTCGGAGGTCGCTGGTGGGGTGGGAAGAGGCAGGAAGGGGGGCAGATCGAGAGATAACAGCAGGGACGAAGCATGGAGAAACGGCGATGGCATGGCAGGGTCACAGATGCTGCCTGCAAGCTAAAAGATGTTGCCTCGAAGGTCTGTGGTGGGTGTGGAGAGGCATGAAGGGGGGAGGATGGGGAGAGAACAGCAGGGACGAAGCATGGAGAAACGGCGATGGCATGGCAGGGTCACAGATGCTGCCTGCAAGCTAAAAGATGTTGCCTCGAAGGTCTGTGGTGGGTGTGGAGAGGCATGAAGGGGGGAGGATGGGGAGAGAACAGCAGGGACGAAGCATGGAGAAACGGCGATGGCATGGCAGGGTCACAGATGCTGCCTGCAAGCTAAAAGATGTTGCCTCGAAGGTCTGTGGTGGGTGTGGAGAGGCATGAAGGGGGGAGGATGGGGAGAGAACAGCAGGGACGAAGCATGGAGAAACGGCGATGGCATGGCAGGGTCACAGATGCTGCCTGCAAGCTAAAAGATGTTGCCTCGAAGGTCTGTGGTGGGTGTGGAGAGGCATGAAGGGGGGAGGATGGGGAGAGAACAGCAGGGACGAAGCATGGAGAAACGGCGATGGCAGGGTCGCGGCAAGGCAGGGCACAGGCAGGGTCAAGGTTAAGTGTGTGTGACTCACAGTGTCTTGAGGGGAAGAGCCTGGTTGCCCGTGACAGAAAAGGAAGTGCGTGTGATAGTAACGAGGTCAAAGCAAGCAGTCTTTCCTGGCTGCGACTCACAGTGTCTTGAGGGGAAGAGCCTGGTTGCCCGTGACGGGGAAGGTGCCTTGCAGGCTGTTTCCTCCCAGGCCGCTGCAAGGGAAGGTGGGAACACACGCAGGAGAAGAGGAATTGAGTCGACTTAAAACACACATTGAGTCTTCTCGAAACACATCGTGAGGGGAAGAGCCTGGTTGCCGGTGACAGAGAAGGTTCCTTGCAGGCTGTTTCCTCCCAGGCCGCTGCAAGGAAAGGTGGGGAAGAATGAGAGGAAGGGAGAAGAAGAGAACAAAAGAACCCCACGACTCTCCATTTCCCTGTGCTTGGACAAGGGGAGGGAGAACTGGTTGCAGACTCCCTGTGCTTTCTTGAATTACAACTCTTGTGTGTGTCACTTGTGAGAATCCGCAAAAGTCACAGTCGAATGCGGCGGGTCTTCCTTGTGTGGTTGTGAAGGGTAACAAAGGCGGGTGAAACAGCGGCACGTTTTGGCACTACTGGAGGGTGGGTGTAGCGTGGTTGTCAGTGGCACTAACAAGCATGACACTAACATAAAAGGTGGTACAGGTAGGTGGTTGTAGGGAAACCGTGAAACAACTCTAACAAGTGTGACATTATCGAGAGAGGCATTACAGGTAGGTGAGTGCAGGGAAGCCGTCAAATACAGGAACAGAGCCATTGAGCTTGTTGCTTGCAAGGTTGCTGCAGAGGAGAGGGGGAGAAAAAAGGAGGGAAAGGGCGAGAGAGGAAGGAAGATTGTGATTCAATACAAGCGGAAACCTAAAGATGGGAACAGCCGTTGAGCTTGTTGCTTGCAAGGTTGCTGCAGGGGGAGAAGGGTGGGGGGAAGGGAGAGGAGGAGAGGAAGCGAATCACTGATTCAACTTTAAGTGAATTGTGGAATATGGGAACAGAGCCGTTGAGCTTGTTGCTTGCAAGGTTTCTGCAGAGGAGAGGGATGCGGAATGGTGACAACTGTGAGTCAAGTTAAGGTTCATTAAATATCGGAACAGAGCTGTTGGGGAGGATTTTTGCTGATGGAACTGGGGATGGTGATTCTGAGGTGACTCAGAATCAGTATCATATCAAATATTTAGAGAGAATATATATACATACGATAAATTTAGAACAAAAATGAACTCACAGGTAGGTGAGGCCGGTGAGGTTGGTGATGGAACTGGGGATACTGTTCTCCAAAGCATTGTATTGAAGATCACTGTAACGAGGATAATGGGCAGGGAAGATGAGTGAAAGGTGGTGGGGGAGGGCTTTAAGGTCGGTGGTGGAACTGGGGGTGATCTGTGAGGTTTGAAAGAACAGAGAAATGATGAAGGGTGTGGGACGGGGGCGAGGGGAGGTTTGAGGTGGGGTGTTTAGAGGGGGTGAGACGGACAACAGGGGCGGAAAGGCGTGAGGGGGAACCAGGAGAGAAGGGGGGACTAAACGAGGGAAAGAGGGGGAGGAAGATTAGGATGATGACGTGAGGGAGAGCGAGCAACGTACAGCCATGTGAGGGTTGAGAGTGATCCCAGTGTTGATGGCAGGGATGCAGATACGTTGTTCTTGGACAGATCTCTGGACAAGGGGGGACACATGGGGTAGGTGGGGGTGAAGGAGGGAGGGAGATGTGAGGGAATGAAGTGGAAGAGCTGCTGCAACATGCGAGTGATCCCAGAGTTGACCGCAGGGATACAGATACGTTGTTCTTGGACAGGTCTCTGGGCAGCAAGGGGAGCAGGGGGAAGAACAAGGAGGAGGAGCGGAGAGGTGAAGAGTGGAGGCAGGTGAGGGTTGAGATTGATCCCAGTGTGGTGGACTGATCATGTACCCAGGGTTGTAACCACTTGCAACCACTAACAACCGATTTTTGAGGCGCCTCAATTTTTTGAGGCGCCTCAAAAATCGTCCCAGTGTGGACTGATCATGTACCCAGGGTTGTAACCACTTGCAACCACTAACAACCGCTGTAACCACTCACAGAAACTGCAGCTGCTTGAGGTTCCCCAGACCAGCTGACAGCGTCCCTGTGAGCTTGTTGTCGCCTAAATTCCTGGAAAATAATAATAAAATAACGGACAGGAAAAGTAGCAAGCGAAAAATCAAACACACAAATCAATTAAGTGAGTGAGGGTTGGAGAATAGTACAGGGGAGTAAGTGGAAAGTGACATGTGGAGGCAGAGGGAGTGGGGCCACGATAGGCAGAGAGAGAGAGAGAGAGAGTGAGGAGGTGAGGAACGAGGGAGGGGAGCACTCACAAGAAGGTGAGGAGTGAGAGCGTGTCGAGGAACAGAGGGAGCGGGCCTGTGAGCATGTTGATACCCAGATTGCTGTGATGGGGGGGGGGATAGGGGGAAGTGAAGAGAGGATTCTCTAATCCACTCAAAGGGTGTGGATGAAAAGAGTAGTTTTGAGACGTCTCAAAACTACACTTTTATCACGTTTTCTAATCGACTCAAAGGGTGTGGATGAAAAGAGGGATCGGGCCTGTGAGCATCATCATACCCATATTGCTGTGGTGGTGGGGGAGGAGAGTGGGAAAATGGGGAGGGAGGGGGGGGAACAAGAAAGGGAAGCGAAGGGAGGGAATAATGTGTGAATGGGGTTTTAAAGGTGACTCAGAAGGTGGGAGGAAGAGAGGAAGCGGGCCTGTGAGCATGTTGATGCCAAGATTGCTGTGATGGGGGGAAGGGAGGGGGAAGGCGGAGAAGAGGTGGAGGGGAGGGAGAGTGAAAGTGAAAGGAAGGGAGGGACTCAAATGGAGATTCGTCAGTTGACTGGAAGGGTGTGGAGGAAGAGAGGGAGCGGGCCTGGTTGATGCCAAGATTGCTGTCATGGGGGAGAGAAGGGAGGGGCAGGAAGCAGTAGAAGTGAAGGGAGGAGATGGGATGAGAGGAGAAGGGACAAGGGAGAGAGAGGAGCGGGGAGAAAAAGAACGAGAAGCTGGGAAGAGAGGGCATGATCTTAGCTTGGTGCGGAACGGTGGATACACACACCACAACAGTTCCTGAGAATAGCGCTGCACATTGAGAATAGCGCTGCACATTGAGAATAGCGCTGCACATTGAGAATAGCGCTGCACATTGAGAATAGCGCTGCACATTGAGAATAGCGCTGCACATTGAGTCTAGCGGTGCACATTGAGAATAGCGCTGCACATTGAGTCTAGCGGTGCACATTGAGAATAGCGCTGCACATTGAGAATAGCGGTGCACATTGAGAATAGCGCTGCACATTGAGAATAGCGGTGCACATTGAGAATAGCGCTGCACATTGAGAATAGCGGTGCACATTGAGAATAGCGCTGCACATTGAGTCTAGCGGTGCACATTGAGAATAGCGCTGCACATTGAGAATAGCGCTGCACATTGAGAATAGCGGTGCACATTGAGAATAGCGCTGCACATTGAGAATAGCGCTGCACATTGAGAATAGCGCTGCACATTGAGAATAGCGCTGCACATTGAGAATAGCGGTGCACATTGAGAATAGCGCTGCACATTGAGTCTAGCGGTGCACATTGAGAATAGCGCTGCACATTGAGTCTAGCGGTGCACATTGAGAATAGCGCTGCACATTGAGTCTAGCGGTGCACATTGAGAATAGCGCTGCACATTGAGAATAGCGGTGCACATTGAGAATAGCGGTGCACATTGAGTCTAACCAGGCGGGCAGCACATGGTATCACAGAGCACACAGAATGGGGTAGACGCAGCACAGGGCAGCACAGGGCAGCACAGGGCATGCTCACAGGGCATGCTCACAGGGCATGCTCACAGGGCATGCTCACAGGTGCTGCAGGTTGGTGAGAGCGCCAAAGGTGGTGGGGATGTCACTGTCGAGATTGTTCTGAAAGAAGTTGCTGTGAGGGGAGGGACGAGGAGGTTAGGGCCGAGGGGTTGAGAGGGGCGAAGGGGGAGAGGTACAGGGGAGGGGATGGGATGGGAGGTGATGGGAGTGCTGGCAGGACTGGTGGTGGGGATGTCACTGTTGAGATTGTTCTGAAAGAAGTTACTGGGAGGAGAGGCAAAGGGGAAAGGAGGAGAGGGGCGAAAGGGGGAGGGGAGGGGAGGGGAGGGGCGAGCTCGTGAGAGGGCGGATAGGCAAGGGAATGCAAGGTGGTGGGATTGTGAGAGCGCCAAAGGTGGTGGGATTGTGAGAGCGCCAAAGGTGGTGGGATTGTGAGAGCGCCAAAGGTGGTGGGATTGTGAGAGCGCCAAAGGTGGTGGGATTGTGAGAGCGCCAAAGGTGGTGGGATTGTGAGAGCGCCAAAGGTGGTGGGATTGTGAGAGCACCAAAGGTGGTGGGATTGTGAGAGCGCCAAAGGTGGTGGGATTGTGAGAGCGCCAAAGGTGGTGGGATTGTGAGAGCGCCAAAGGTGGTGGGATTGTGAGAGCGCCAAAGGTGGTGGGATTGTGAGAGCGCCAAAGGTGGTGGGATTGTGAGAGCGCCAAAGGTGGTGGGATTGTGAGAGCGCCAAAGGTGGTGGGATTGTGAGAGCGCCAAAGGTGGGGGATGTCACTGTTGAGGTTGTTCTGAAAGAAGTTGCTGGGAGGGAGGGGCGAAGGGGAAGAGGGGAGGGGAGGAGTGGGGAAGGGCGAGGCGGTGAGAGGCGCGGATAGGCTAGACGATGCAAGGTGGTGGGGATGTCGCTGTCGAGGTTGTTCTGAAAGAAGTTGCTGGGGAAGTGATGAGAGGGGAGAGGAGAGGGGAGGGGCGAGGTGGGGAGGGAAGGGCGAGGGCCGAACCAGAGAGAGGGTGGGGCGGATAGGCAAGGGGATGCAAGGTGATGGGATTGTGAGAGCGCCAAAGGTGGTGGGGACGTCACTGTCAAGATTGTTCCGATAGAGGTTGCTGGGAGCAGAGGGGCGAAGGGGGAGAGGGACGGATGGGGGGAACTGATGAGGGACAAGGTGGTGGGACTTGTGGATGCCCCAATGGTGGTGGGGACGACATGTCACTGTCTAGGGTGGGGCGGTGAGAGGGCACGGGGATGCAAGGTGGTGGGACTTGTGGATGCCCCAATGGTGGTGGGGACGTCACTGTCAAGAGGTTGGTCTGAAAGAGGTTGCTGGGAGGAGTGATGAGGACGGGAGGGGAGGAGAGGGCGAGGCAGTGAGAGGAGCGGATAGGAAAGAGCATGCAAGGTGGTGGGATTGTTAAAGCCCCAAAGGTGGTGGGATTGTTAGAGCCCCAAAGGTGGTGGGATTGTTAGAGCCCCAAAGGTGGTGGGATTGTTAGAGCCCCAAAGGTGGTGGGATTGTTAGAGCCCCAAAGGTGGTGGGATTGTTAGAGCCCCAAAGGTGGTGGGATTGTTAGAGCCCCAAAGGTGGTGGGATTGTTAAAGCCCCAAAGGTGGTGGGATTGTTAAAGCCCCAAAGGTGGTGGGATTGTTAGAGCCCCAAAGGTGGTGGGATTGTTAGAGCCCCAAAGGTGGTGGGATTGTTAGAGCCCCAAAGGTGGAGGGATTGTTAGAGCCCCAAAGGTGGTGGGATTGTTAGAGCCCCAAAGGTGGCGGTTGAGGGGAGGAGAGGGGTGAGGGAGAGGAGGGGTGAGGGAGAGGAGGGGTGAGGGAGAGGAGGGGTGAGGGAGAGGAGGGGTGAGGGAGGAGGGGTGAGGGAGAGGAGGGGTGAGGGAGAGGAGGGGTGAGGGAGAGGAGGGGTGAGGGAGAGGAGGGGTGAGGCGAGGGATGGGTAGAGGGGCAGGAAGGGATGAAGGGAAGGGAAGGATGAGAGGAAGGGAAAGAAGAAGGTAGGGCATCGGAGGGGTGAGGGATGGGGGGTGGTGACGGGAGGGGGGTGAGGGAAGGGGTAGGAAGTGTGTTTTGAGTCTACTCAAAACACACAGGGATGGGGGGTGGTGACGGGAGGGGGGTGAGGGAAAGGGTAGGAAGAAGGGTGAGGGGAGAAGAACGGAGAGGGGTGAGGGGATGAGTGGAGACTAGGAGTGAGGTGAGGGGCGGGGGTGAGAGCAGTGCACGGAGAGGAGTTATCATTGCACATGCGCTCAGCCCCATGCAAGCTACTCTTGCAGAGATTTCTGCTGGGATGTGACTATCACGGATGCAGCCATGGGCCAGTGGGGCCTGATCTGAACAGTGCGAGGCTACTTTAGAGGCGCCTCAAAAGTTAATATTGCACAGATTTCAGCCCCATGCAAGCTACTCTTGCAGTGATTATTGGGATGTGACTATATGGGATGCAGCCGTGGGCCAGTCTGGCCTGACATGAGCAGTGCGAGGTTACAGGTGCGTTGAAATGGTTGAGACCTTTCGAAAGAGAATCCTGTGTTGTAGCTTACAGGTGGGTCAGCAGAGTCAGGTTGCCGATGGACGACGGCAGCACCCCAGCCAGGCTGATTTGAGAATTCTCAAATTCAACCTCAGAGAGTCCTGTGGTAAAGCTTACAAGTGCGTTGAAATGCTGAGAGCCTTCGAAAGAGAATCCTGTGGTGAAGCTTACAGGTGGGTCAGCAGAGTCAGGTTGCCGATGGACGACGGCAGCACCCCTGCAAGAGACGACATATCCATTGACCTGGCGGGGGATAGGGTTTAAGGGAGGAAGACGGGGGAGAGCAGGGAAGGGAGGATGATTATGGCGGGGAAAGGAGGATGATTATGGCGGGGAAGGGAGTATGATTATGCCCATGACTGAAGTTGCCAGTAGACAACGGCAGCACCCCTGCCAGCAACGACATTTCCATTGACCTGGCGGGTATAAGGGGGGTGAGGTGGGTGGGTGGGTGGGTGCGTTGTGTGACGTGTCAGGAAACTGGAAGACGACTTCTCAGCACGGCTGCCAGGGGCGATATCTCCATGGCCCTGGCGGGGATAAGGGTGTAGGAGGAGGGGGAGGTGGGGAGGAGCGGGGGGTTGAGAAGGTGGGTTGGTTGTGTGGAGGGGCGGGTGAGGCGCTCACCAAGTTGCCACGAGGCGAGCGCAGCACGGCTGCCAGCGACGATATCTCCTTTGGCCTGGTGGAGATGGGAGAGCGGGACGAAAAGAGGAGTGAGAGGGGGAGTGAGCGGGGGGGTGAGGCAAGTGCGTCAGGTTGCCACGAGGCGAGGGCAGCACGGCTGCCAGCGACGATATCTCCTTTGACCTGGTGGAGATGGGAGAGCGGGACGAAAAGAGGAGTGAGAGGGGGAGTGAGCGGGGGGGTTAGGCAAGTGCGTCAGGTCGCCACGAGGCGAGGGCAGCACGGCTGCTAGCGACGATATCTCCTTTGACCTGGTGGAGATGGGAGAGCGGGCGGGAGAAGGGATCCTGTTACAGTCACACTCACATCTTCATGATCGTCCCGTTACTGTCAGACTCGAGTCACTCCTTCACAATTTCCCCGTTACAGTCACGCACTCACATCTTCACAGTCATCCCGTTACAGTCACAAACTCACATCTTCACGATCATCCCGTTACTGTCACACTGCAGGCCCTCCGCAGTGGCACAATCCTCCCCCGTGGTCCATCCCGTGAAGTTGCGAATCCACAGCGCCTGACAGTCGAGGAGAACAGGGACTGGGGGTAGGGGGTGGGAGGGTGGGGGGTTGTGGAAGGGGCGGGAGACGGAATACAGAGCCTGACGGGCAGGCCTCCCCCGTGGTCCATCCCGTGAAGTTGCGAATCCACAGCGCCTGACAGTCGAGGAGAACAGGGACTGGGGGTAGGGGTTGGGAGGGTGGGGGGTTGTGGAAGGGGCGGGAGACGGAATACAGAGCCTGACGGGCAGGCCTCCCCCGTGGTCCATCCCGTGAAGTTGCGAATCCACAGCGCCTGACAGTCCAACAGAACCGGGACTGGGGGGGAGAGGAGGGGTGGAGAGGGGCGGAGAGGGGTAAGACGGAAAAGCAGAGCCTGGCTGACAGTCCTCCCCCGTGGTCCATCCCGTGAAATTGCGGATCCACAGCGCCTGGCAGTCCAGCAGCACGGGGACTGGGGGCGGGGGAACGGGGAAACGGGGGGAGGTGGGAAGGGGACAACAGGACGGAGAGAGGGCGGGGAGAAGAAGAACAAGGGAGAGGGATGGAGGAGTGTGGATTATGAGGAAGCGGCGCAGTCATCCCCATCCCCGTCGTCCATCCCGTGAAGTTGCGGAATTACACCGCCTGACAGTCAAGGAGAACCGGGACTGGGGGCGGGGAGGGGTGGAGCGGGGTGGAGAGTGGTGAGGGGGGGGAACACAGCGCCTGGCTGACAGTCCTCCCCCGTGGTCCATCCCGTGAAATTGCGGATCCACAGCGCCTGGCAGTTCAGCAGCACGGGGACTGGGGGCGGGTTGGGGGCGGAGGGGGAAGGGGGATGGGGGGTTGTGAGGGGGAAAGGGAGCGAACACAGCCCCTCCGCAGTGGCGCAGTCCTTCCCTGTCGTCCATCCCGTGGCGCAGTTCTCACGCGGAATATATTTCTTGAGTCAATGAAGCAGCCATTACGAGCGACAATGCGTGCATTCTCACTCTATGTGATAGAACGGGTGACACCCTATCTTAGGACCGCTAAAGGTTAATTGAAAACGCTGAACAACCAGCTGATTTCACGCGGAATATCGTCCTTGGGTCCACTAAGACGTCAAATAATACCGCAAGGAGGATCTGAGCGACTCACTTTGTATTTTTTGAATTCTAGAAAAACATATTCAGCCTAACAACCAGCTTCACGCGGAATATCGTCCTTGAGTCCACTAAGGTGTCAACTGATATCGCAAGGAGGATCGGCGCGACTCACTTTGCGACGGATCGACTGGCTGCGATCGAACGAAAATAGAAGAATTCGGAGCTGCGAGAAGCAAAAAGGCGAGAACGAGCAAGGTTTGGTTGACCGCTGACGCTCGGCTACTGCTACTTCGCCTCATTGTTAACCGCGATTTGGCTGCTCTATGGATAGAAGTATCGACCTACAATAAGTTACTGCCAGGGAAATTTGGATACAGAGTGTGTTCGTGCGAAAAGAAGACCACCTGAGCAGAAAATGGGGTGGATTGGAGAAAGCTACTGCTACTAAATAAATGATACTATTTTCAACAGCTATGTATCGCCTCATCGAGATCATGGACAGGAAAGCCTGGTTGGGCATTGGGACTGTCGAGTCGCGACGCGACTGTTTTTGTGAACCTGTCAGTCAAGCGAGGTCCGCACCGCGCGTCAGTCCCGCGAATTTGTGGATCATGGATACATTTCAATGCGACAGTCTACAGGCCGACTCGGTTAGACAACGAGGGTGCAACAATCCGGTCGGAATCAGTGTGCGGATTTGACATAATGTATGGATATATCAATTCCAAGGGTCCTATTGTTGCATTTGCTTCCAGTCCATCCGTACAATGATTGCCAACCTCCAACTACAGAACTAAAGAGTTGAAATGCATTTTTACCCACCTATACACAGCTACCAAAAAGGGTTACCAGTCCCGACCCCCCCTCCCCGCCCCATATGTACATGCAATGCAATTGAAGGAACCTCCAATATTGTCTATGCGTAACCCACGGTTGCACCTGCATTTCAGACGCCATCTCCACTCAATGGAACTCATAATCTCGTGAATGGGGCATTGCTCCTTCAAAGCCTCGATGGAATTCCTATCAATAACCAATAAAATACGAACCTTTCTAAGCTGGCTTCTATCACTGTGTACCCCCACCATCTGGTGTGTCTTCACTAATTCCTCCCCTGTCACCATCCCCCATGCTCTCCACCCTCATAGTCTGCTCCTCCAGTGTATCCCCCACACCAATCGCCAGCTCAGAGTCAATCCTAACCGCTCGCTCATCCATGTCGCCACCTGTCAGCTCAGCTCGCATCGCCTTGAGATCTCCAATGATCCGCATCATATCGGGGCGCGATGCGGTCGGTATGGCCGTACAGCTCAGCGAGGCGGAGGATGACGTCAGCAGGACCCTCGAGGCGAGGGTCTTTGAAGGATGCCACGTCATGGGCAGAAACTAGAGGTGCCACCTGTAAGGGAGACAGGGGAGAGAGGAGTGAGAGGAGTGAGAGGAGTGAGAGGGTGGTGGGATTGAAGCTCATTCACACCACTCTTCAATGTGCCTCAAGACAAACCAACAACACGTGAGCAGCACAGTACATGTTAAAGGATATATTTGAATTACAGATGTGCTACTGACTATCAATTCATGAGTTGGTCAGCAACTCACCCATGACCCATATCATTAACCTCGTTAGCGAGTCAGCTAAACCATGCCCAAACCGTGAGTGGGGTAGTCAGCTTACTCGTGCTTGGAAGTGAACTGGCAAGTGAACTCACCCATGCCTTGAGGTTGACTCAAAGTCAACTCACCCATGCCTTGAGGTTGACTCAAAGTTAACTCACCCATGCCTTGAGGTTGACTCAAAGTAAACTCAACCATGCCTTGAGGTTGACTCGCGGTCAACTCACCCATGCCTTGAGGTTGACTCGTGGTCAACTCACCCATGCCTTGAGGTTGATTCATGGTCAACTCACCCATGGCTTGAGGTTGACTCGTGGTCAACTCACCCATGCCTTGAGGTTGACTCAAAGTCAACTCACCCATGCCTTGAGGTTGACTCTGCTCGTGTTCTGCTGGGTGCGCACGGCATGCTGCGCTGTTATCACCGCCAGCATCACCACTCCAAAGCTGATAATGCGCAGTGGGAACACATGGCAAGGCATGTGGGACGAAATTCAGGTATTCATGGAAAGACATGTGGGAATGCAGGGGCACATGTAGGGGCACATGTAGGGGCACATGCAGGGGCACATGTAGCGGCACACGTAGGGGCACATGCAGGGGCACATGTAGCGGCACAGGTAGGGGCACATGCAGGGGCACATGTAGCAGCACATGCAGGGGCACATGTAGGTGCACATGTAGGTGCACATGCAGGGGCACATGTAGGTGCACATGTAGGTGCACATGCAGGGGCACATGTAGGTGCACATGTAGGTGCACATGCAGGGGCACATGTAGGTGCACATGTAGGGGAACATGTAGGTGCACATGTAGGTGCACATGCAGGGGCACATGTAGGTGCACATGTAGGGGCACATGTAGGTGCACATGCAGGGGCACATGTAGGTGCACATGCAGGGGCACATGTAGGTGCACATGTAGGGGCACATGTAGCGGCACAGGTAGGGGCACATGCAGGGGCACATGTAGCAGCACATGCAGGGGCACATGTAGGTGCACATGTAGGGGCACATGTAGGTGCACATGTAGGGGCACATGTAGGTGCACATGCAGGGGCACATGTAGGTGCACATGTAGGTGCACATGCAGGGGCACATGTAGGTGCACATGTAGGGGCACATGTAGGTGCACATGCAGGGGCACATGTAGGTGCACATGTAGGTGCACATGCAGGGGCACATGTAGGTGCACATGTAGGTGCACATGCAGGGGCACATGTAGGTGCACATGTAGGTGCACATGCAGGGGCACATGTAGGTGCACATGTAGGTGCACATGCAGGGGCACATGTAGGTGCACATGTAGGGGCACATGCAGGGGCACATGTAGGTGCACATGTAGGTGCACATGCAGGGGCACATGTAGGTGCACATGTAGGTGCACATGCAGGGGCACATGTAGGTGCACATGTAGGGGCACATGTAGGGGCACATGTAGGGGCACATGTAGGTGCACATGCAGGGGCACATGTAGGTGCACATGTAGGGGCACATGTAGGGGCACATGTAGGGGCACATGTAGGTGCACATGTAGGTGCACATGTAGGTGCACATGTAGGGGCACATGCAGGGGCACATGTAGGTGCACATGTAGGTGCACATGCAGGGGCACATGTAGGTGCACATGTAGGTGCACATGCAGGGGCACATGTAGGTGCACATGTAGGTGCACATGCAGGGGCACATGTAGGTGCACATGTAGGTGCACATGCAGGGGCACATGTAGGTGCACATGCAGGGGCACATGTAGGTGCACATGCAGGGGCACATGTAGGTGCACATGCAGGGGCACATGTAGCGGCACATGCAGGGCAGGGGGCACATGACAAGAGAGTACCATTCTGTACCGCGCTGTACTGCTTTCTACCTGTGCACATCAGCCATGGGAGTAGCCTTTTGTAACTTAAAATAAAGTGGGGTCCACATAGCCCGGTATGCCCATCACTCCCATGCACTTCCTTACTGGACAACACAGGCTCGCACCGCTCTGTACTGCAATGCAACGCTCAATACAATGCTGTACCGCACGGTACCACACTGTACCGCTCTGTACATGTGCACATCAGCCATCGGTGTAGCCTTCTGTGACTCGAAGCGGGGTCCACATAGCCCAGTGTGCCTGTCACTCCCATGCACTTCCTTACTGGACAACACATGTTCGCACCAAACTGCACTTCTCTGTACTGCTCTGTACCGCTCTGTAGCTCTCTGTACCTGTGCACATCGGCCATGGGGGTAGCCTTCTGTGACTTGAAGTAAGCAGGGTCCACATAGCCTGGTGTGCCCATCACTCTAGTGTTGCCCATTGTGCTGCCCTCCCCCTCCCTCAGCAGCCCAAAGTCTGCAATCTTGGCCTATTGTGGGGGGTGCATCATGAGTAGAGAACGCAAGGGAAGGGCGAGATAAAGTGGTGAGTTTGTATCAAGTGTGCTGGTATTGAGTCGACTCGAGTCACTCTAGTGTTGCCCACTGTGCTGCCCTCGCCCTCCCTCAGCAGCCCAAAGTCGGCAATCTTGGCCTGGTGGGGAAAGGGGAGGAGAGGGGGGGGAGGGAAGGGGGTGTGACAAGGGCGTGATGAGGTGCTGTGTCTGTATTGAGTCGACTCAAGTCATCTCTAGTGTTGCCCACTGTGCTGCCCTCCCCCTCCCTCAGCAGCCCAAAGTCGGCAATCTTGGCCTGGTGGGTGGAGGGTGCGGGGGGGAAGGGGTCATAGGTTGAGAGGGCAAGACAAGGGCAGATAAGGTGGTGGGTTTGTATGGAGTCGACTCAAATCACTCTTGTGGCGCCAAGAGTGGAGCTGGTAATGTACTCTGCGGTAATGCATAAGCGTAAAATATATAACTATATAACTATATATATATATACCACTCACACCTGCATCTTGCCGTCTAGGAGGATGTTGGCGGGCTTGATGTCGCGATGCACAATGCCAAAGCTGTGGAGGTACTCTATCCCGTGGGGAGGGGAGGCGCTTACACGGAAAGGCACACACAACAACCTCACATTCATCTTGCTGCCAAGGAGGATGTTGGCGGCTTGATGTCGCGATGCACAATGCCAAAGCTGTGGAGGTACTCTATCCCCCCCTTCCCCCTCTATCTACCTACCCACGTTCATTCACCAATATCAGCTCACATTCATCTTGCCGTCCAGGAGGATGTTGGCGGGCTTGATGTCGCGGTGCACAATGCCAAAGCTGTGGAGGTACTCTAAGCCATGGGCCGCGCCGATGAGAATGTTCACACGCTCGAGCAGCGACAGTGGCTTTGGTGCCTCTGACGGACCAAGAAGGGTGGGCGGAGGGTATGGATGCCAAAGGTATGAAGGTACTCGATACCGTGGGCAGCAGCAGCAGCATATCGTGGCCAAAGCACAGAGAGGCACTTTATCCTAAGGGCGGCGGTTTTGCAGATACTCTATCCTTACCGTCTCCGATCCAATGGTCGAGATCGCCGTTCTCCATGAACTCATACACCACCACCTGCTCCATCTCCTCCGTGCCCGCGTTGAAGTCGATGCAGAACCCCAGCAGCCACAAAGCAAGGATCCTCGATCCAACGGTCGAGATTTCATGACCTTCCTCGATCCAACGGTCGAGATCTTACCGTCTCCGATCCAACGGTCGAGATCGCCGTTCTCCATGAACTCATACACCACCACCTGCTCCATCTCCTCCGTGCCCGCGTTGAAGTCGATGCAGAACCCCAGCAGCCTCACCAGGTTGGGGTGGTGCTTCGATGCCATGGCGTTCACCTGATAAGATGAGATGAGAGAGTAAGGGGGTGGAGGAATGTGAAAGATGGAGAAGCTGTGAGCGGGGATGCCAACCTGGTGGCCACCCCACCCAGTCGATGCAGAACCCCAGCAGCCTCACCAGGTTGGGGTGGTGCTTCGATGCCATCGCATTCACCTGATCAGATGAGACAAAGCGTATGGGAGAATGGGGATGACGGAGAGACTGTGAGCGATAATCCCTTCCAACCTGGTGACCACCCCAACCAGTCGATGCAGAACCCCAGCAGCCTCACCAGGTTGGGGTGGTGCTTCGATGCCATGGCGTTCACCTGGAATGGGATGGGAAGGGGTGCAGTGCGGTGCTGCTGGGTTGATGTCCACGCAGAACCGCAGCAGCCTCGCCAGGTTGGGGTGGTGCTTTGATGCCATCGCATTCACCTGGTGAAGAGGGACGAGAGAGTATGCGGGAATGCGAAAGACAAGGGGGAGAGGGTTGTGTACTCGGTATACTCGAGGCACCTTTGAGGATTCAAAAGCCTCATCAGAGCAGTTGGGGTGGTGCTTTGATGCCATTGCATTCACCAGGTGAGGTGAAAGTAAGGGGGAATGTGAAAGAAGAGCAGGGGAGGGGGGGGGTTGTGGACCAGGTATTCATCACCAAAGCCGCTTTTGAGTCGACTCAAAACCAGGTATTCAAGGTGACTTTTGAGTCGACTCAAAACCAGGTATTCAAGGTGACTTTTGAGTCGACTCAAAACCAGGTATTCAAGGTGACTTTTGAGTCGACTCAAAACCAGGTATTCAAGGTGACTTTTGAGTCGACTCAAAACCAGGTATTCAAGGTGACTTTTGAGTCGACTCAAAACCAGGTATTCGAGGTGACTTTTGAGTCGACTCAAAACCAGGTATTCGAGGTGACTTTTGAGTCGACTCAAAACCAGGTATTCAAGGTGACTTTTGAGTCGACTCAAAACCAGGTATTCGAGGTGACTTTTGAGTCGACTCAAAACCAGGTATTCGAGGTGACTTTTGAGTCGACTCAAAACCAGGTATTCAAGGTGACTTTTGAGTCGACTCAAAACCAGGTATTCAAGGTGACTTTTGAGTCGACTCAAAACCAGGTATTCAAGGTGACTTTTGAGTCGACTCAAAACCAGGTATTCAAGGTGACTTTTGAGTCGACTCAAAACCAGGTATTCAAGGTGTGTCGTGAAGTACCTCCCTTCGGCCTGCTTCTTCAAACTCTCTTCTCTGCCTCCCTCTTACATTCCCTCTCCCTCCCTGATAGGTGCAGTCTGCCTCTCTTCTCACTCTCATCCTCTCGGTTTACTCTCCCTGCTTGCCTGCCCCCTGGCCATCTGCCTGTCTCTTCTTCCTGCGTGTGTATGTGATGACGCTGCCCCACTGCTAGGTCTAAGGTATCTCGCTTGGCCTGCCGCAGGTACACTTCTTGCCCAGCCTCCACTCCCTTACGTCTGCCTCCCTCCTCTCCTGCCTTCCTCTGCTGATAGCGTTTAGCGTCCCTCAGCTGAGCCACATGGAGGTTGTCCAGCGCTGCCGGTGTCAGTTCTCTCAGGTATGTCGCCCTCTTCCTGGCCAGCTCAGCCCACAGGTGTGGCTCGTCTGCATCTACCGTCGCGCTCAGCAGCTTCGGTGCATCCACGGGTAAGATGGGGTTCCTCCCGTACAGCAGATGGTAGGGCAACATGTCCTTCAATGTCGCCTGCTTGGCAAAGCAATACCCTGCAAGGATCCAGTGTAGCTCCTGGTCCCATCCTCTCTTGTTCATCTCTCTGTAGGCCCGCAACCCTCTCTTCAGCGTCTGCATCAGCCGCTCCGTCAACCCATCCGACTGCGGGTGATATCTTGATGTCACGTGGTTGAGTAATCTGCAGCTCCTTCATGGTCTCTTCAAAGCTAGTTTTGAGACGTCTCAAAACTAATCTGCAGCTCCTTCATGGTCTCTTCAAAGCTAGTTTTGAGACGTCTCAAAACTAATCTGCAGCTCCTTCATGGTCTCTTCAAAGCTAGTTTTGAGACGTCTCAAAACTAATCTGCAGCTCCTTCATGGTCTCTTCAAAGCTAGTTTTGAGACGTCTCAAAACTAATCTGCAGCTCCTTCATGGTCTCTTCAAAGCTAGTTTTGAGACGTCTCAAAACTAATCTGCAGCTCCTTCATGGTCTCTTCAAAGCTAGTTTTGAGACGTCTCAAAACTAATCTGCAGCTCCTTCATGGTCTCTTCAAAGCTAGTTTTGAGACGTCTCAAAACTAATCTGCAGCTCCTTCATGGTCTCTTCAAAGCTAGTTTTGAGACGTCTCAAAACTAATCTGCAGCTCCTTCATGGTCTCTTCAAAGCTAGTTTTGAGACGTCTCAAAACTAATCTGCAGCTCCTTCATGGTCTCTTCAAAGCTAGTTTTGAGACGTCTCAAAACTAATCTGCAGCTCCTTCATGGTCTCTTCAAAGCTAGTTTTGAGACGTCTCAAAACTAATCTGCAGCTCCTTCATGGTCTCTTCAAAGCTAGTTTTGAGACGTCTCAAAACTAATCTGCAGCTCCTTCATGGTCTCTTCAAAGCTAGTTTTGAGACGTCTCAAAACTAATCTGCAGCTCCTTCATGGTCTCTTCAAAGCTAGTTTTGAGACGTCTCAAAACTAATCTGCAGCTCCTTCATGGTCTCTTCAAAGCTAGTTTTGAGACGTCTCAAAACTAATCTGCAGCTCCTTCATGGTCTCTTCAAAGCTAGTTTTGAGACGTCTCAAAACTAATCTGCAGCTCCTTCATGGTCTCTTCAAAGCTAGTTTTGAGACGTCTCAAAACTAATCTGCAGCTCCTTCATGGTCTCTTCAAAGCTAGTTTTGAGACGTCTCAAAACTAATCTGCAGCTCCTTCATGGTCTCTTCAAAGCTAGTTTTGAGACGTCTCAAAACTAATCTGCAGCTCCTTCATGGTCTCTTCAAAGCAACCTTTGAACTCTGTACCCTGGTCCATCAACACCTCCCCACACGCCCCAAACCTGGAAAACCTGGAAAGCAGCACTGATGAAGGCTTAGCGGGGTTCTGTCCCGTTTGGCCGAAACTAGTTTGCGATTAAAGGTTTTTCGAGGTTTGGAGGCTTTGAGATCTTTCTTTTAATTTCTAGGAACAAGTTTCACAAGTTTCGATCCTTTTGCTAAGCGTTTTCTCACAAGTTCGCTGCTACTCCCATCATGAATCTTGATTCTTGTGCCCTGGTCCGACAACACCTCCCCACACGCCCCAAACCTGGTGATCACTTGTTCCACGAACGCCTCTACAATCAGCCCGCTATTCTTGCTCGGCAGTGCCATGGCCTCTACCCACTTGCTAGTGTGCTCCACCATCACGAGTATGTATTGCTTGCCTTTCTTGGACAGAGGTAATTCCCCCGCCAAATCCAGCGACCAGCGGTAGCCCAGTCCCCGAATTGGCAGTGACTGCAGCTCCTCCGTGGCCTTCTCCACCGCTGCTGTGTTACGCCGACAGGCTGCACACTCCTCTACCAGCTCTTTGACATCCCTCCTTATCCCCGCCCACTAGTACATCCCTCCTTGATTGGTACGTGCCGTTCCGTAGTGCCCCAGCTTCCCATGCACCCGTTGCATGATCCTTTCCCTGTCCTTTTTCTGTGGCACTATCTTCCATCCCTCACTGGTGCGAAGCTGCAGCTGCTCCTGGTACCAACGGTAATGCTGCCCCCTGGCCCTTGCTCTGTCACTGGCCTCCTCACCCTCTGTGCTTCCTCCCTTGATCCACTCCAGAGTCTCGGTGTCTTCCCAGACATCCAGCTGCCGCTTCTCAACCTTTTCCTGCCCCCAGCCAGCTGCCGGTACCTGTGCTACTGCCACCAGCTGCGCCACAGGCTGCACAGGTGGAGGATTCCGTGACAGACCGTCTGCATGCTGGAGGGTCTTGCCCGGACGATGCCGGATTTCAAAGTCGTATCCCAGCAGATTAATCGCTCAACGGGCGTTTCGTCCCGTCAGTTCCCGGTTCGTCCCGTCAGTTCCCGGTTCGTCATCAGCCACATCAACGGCTGATGATCGGTCACCAGCACGAACCTGCGCCCCTGCAAGTAAACCCTGAAATGGTTGATACCCCATACAGCTGCCAGCCCCTCGCCTTCATACGAGCAGTAATTTGCCTCGGTAGGGCTGCAGTTGTGGCTAGCAAAGGCTACCACTCGTTCTGCTCACTCAATCTCCTGACACAAGACTGCCCCCATCCCCATGCAGCTCCAGTCAGTGTAAAGCGTGAAAGGAGTGTCGGCCCTGGGTATCTGCAGCAGTGTACCAGTCCGTACCACCTCTAAGAGATCCTGTCTGGCCGCCTCTTCCTCCTTTCCCCACTCCCATCGCTTCCCTTCCCTGAGCAGTTGATTCAGGAGGTTTGCTCGTCGGCTGAAGTTCGGCACGAACTTCCTATAGTACTTTAGGAAGCCGAGCAGCGCCCTCAGCCCTGACTTGTCCTTCGGCGGTGCTAGCTTGTCCAGCACTTTAGCCTTTGCCTCCTGAATGCCCAACCTGCCCCCCTTCACTTCAAATCCCAGATATGCAACAATCCTCCTCGCTATCTTACACTTCTCAGGGTGGCAGGTGAGTCCTGCTGCCGCTATTGCCTCTAGCGTCCGTCTCAGGTCCTCTGCATGCTGCGTGTCTGTCTTGCTGAAGACCAGGACATCATCGATGTAGCATGCTGCAGCTGGTATCCCGCGCAGTACCTAATCCATCGCCCGCTAGAACACGGCAGATGCGTTCCGCAAGACGAATGGCATTTTGTTGTACTCATACAACCCGTCCACTCCATGAAACGCGGTTTTGCGCTTGTCCTCCTCCCTTATGGCAATCTGATTAAACCCTTGCCTAAGGTCTAGCGTGGTGAAAATGACTGCCCCTTCCAGCAGGTCAAAGATATCCTCTGCAGTCGGCATGGGATAGCGGTCTGGCTCCGTGATCTTATTCAGATCACGGTAGTCCCCGCACATCCGTCTTAACAAAACCGCTCCGGTCAAATCCTTCCTGGCCGCGACTACTGTTGCGGCTGCGTAGCTTGACTCAGATGGGCGGATGATTCCTGCTGCCAGCAACTCTTTGCATTTTTATTTGCAGATGGCCACATCTTCAGCATTCATGCGCCGCCTCCGCTGGTAGGTCGGTATCTCCGCCGTAAGTTTTATTTCTAACTCCCCTCCCATGTATTGCCCCAGCTCCTGCACGTTGTACGCGAATCTGCCCCTGTGCGCTTTCAGCAGCTGCTTGATCGCCTCTGCAGCCCCTGCCTCCACGTCCGCCCCTATCTCCCATTCCTTCTCTGGCCCCTTCGTGACCGTCCGTTCCTCTTGCCTTGGCGTTGCCCCCACTTCCCTTTTCAGCTCCACCGCTGCATACGCTGGCTGTTTCCGCATCCCGCCT